CTTAGCATTCAGCTTCAGGTGGCAGATCCTGGGAAAAAGCCTTTTCTAACATTTCAACAACTCTTCAGCTGCCCTTTGTGTGTTACTTACCTTGCTTTGTTGTTTTTCTCAAGTGTTTTTGGAGCTCAAAGAATACTTTTATTGGAATCCTATCATGATGTTTTATAACTGTTAATGTTTGGCCTCCCCCACCCCCATTAGTAGTTACTATTAATCCTTTTAATGTTTGCACATGAGTACCCAGCATTTATTTTAGAAATTTTTTCATTTACTTTTTTTTAATATTATAAATGTGCCTAATAGCAAGAAACTACCCAAGTAATGGGTTGGAGGAGGAGTGGGGATGGATAGTATCTTTTTTAAAAAAAGACTCAACTGGGCTTCCGGGAGAACATGGCGGACAGATAGCAGCAGCTATGGAGGCTCTCTGAAACACCCTGCTCAGAATTCAGGAATGGTGCTGAGTAAGGAATCACAAGCAAGAGGAGATATGCCCCGGTGACCCAAGAATGAACTGGGCTGAGAGAAACCAACTGGGTATGCAATCCCGGTGCTATAACAGGAACAGATAAAGCCTCAGTGTGGAAGCGGGAGCCTGTGCCATTGGAAGCCGCAATTTGGGTTTCCCGCCACCGCCGCTGTGTCTGCATTGGCTCGCCAGGGAGAGAGACGCACGGAAGCTCTGAGAACGGGAATCGGTGAACAGAGTTGACGGCGGGATGGGCGGGGAGCTGTGCATCCACCTCCAGTGAGTGAGGGAAAACTGGGACTCTTCCACGGTCTAGGAGACTCCAACAGAGAACATTCTGGGACCTGGCAGACTTGCGGGAACAGGGCGCTGCAGTGACTTCAGTCACCAATCCCCCTCTCAAACGGGATTGGTGAGCAGTGCCTAGCCCACATGACACTGCTGGCTGAGACCCAGTAGGCTAGCACAGCCCAGGTCCCAGCTCCTGAAGGTAGATTGACCTGGAGGAGCGGGCCCCGCATAGGCTGCCTGGTCTGCAACTTCCTGGTGCGCTGCTGTGGGCAGGAACACCTAGCCAGCGCAATTCAATCAGACTGTGGCTGACAGGGAAGGAAGCTGGGCCTCCTATATACACTTGCATATATAAGGAACAAAGAATATGGGAAGAGGCAGCAACAAGAAAGGGTCCTCGGCCCCCAATCCTGAGAAAGAGGCAACAGCAGACACAGCACCAATATATATAAAGCTCTATCTCGAGAGCCTCATAGACAAGTTCAGGAATGAAGTTATTAATGACCTGAAGCTAGACATAAGCAGAATAGTTAGAGAAATTCTAAGCACCACCCAAAAAAAACAGGTGGTGGAATGGAAGAATAGAAAAAGAGGGGAGAATTGTTTAATGGAGAAAATAGAGAAAGCATAGAATACGTGAAGCAGGTTCAAAGAGATTACCAGGAAACTAAAAAGTCTATCGAAAACTGGCATAACAGCTTGAAAGAAACTAAGGACAGATTATCTGAACTGGAGGGCAGATTTGTAATATGGGAGAATGAAATGAGAAACTTCTTAAAAATAACAAAGAAACAAACAGCAATAATACAAAGACTAAAAGATGATAAGAGGGTCTATAACTTAAGAATTAAGAACATAAAAGAAGAAGTAGGGACACAAACAAATGAACTACAAAAGCTACTCACAGAAATAATCCAGGAGAATTTTCCTAATTTAGCAAAAGGGAAAGATACTCAGTTGTATGAAGCATATAGGACCCCAGCCACCTACAACCCAAACAGAGCTACACCCAAGCATATAATAATTAAAATTCCAGAAATCCAATACAAGAACAGAATGCTAAAAGCTGTCAGAGACAAGAAACAGATCACTTACAAGGGAACACTCATCAGAATTACAGCAGACTTCTCAGCACAAACCATCAAATCATGAAGAGCGTGGGGGAAAATAATTCAAGCTTTGAAAGATAATAATCTCCAGCCAAGAATCATATATCCTGCTCAACTATCCCTGGAAATTGATGGAAAAACAAGGTGCTTCCAGGATAAAGAGGAAGTAGGGGAATTTGCAACCACCAATTCAACTCTACAGAGAATACTGCAAGATATTCTAAAAAAGAAAAATATGAAGAATCCAGAAGTAGCGGCAGAGAGGCCACAATGAATGGAGCAGAAAACAAAACGAAGAAGACAAACTGACAACTAATGACAGAAAAAGAGCTCAACAGAAATGAGGCAGAGAAGATTGGATGATAGGAACAGCAATTTTGGAGAAAATGACATCTTAAGAGGTAATACTGATTTAGTATCATCTTGTTTTGAAGTCTCATCAAGCTTTTGTTCTTCTGTCTCCATTGATCTAAACAGGTGGTATCTTACTGGATTGTATTATATATGATAGCATAAGCAAAACCTTTTATAGACAAGGAGATTATACAGAAACCATTGTTCATTTTCTGTTAGTTGATTCTAAATACCCTGTCATACTGTCATTCTCTTAAATGGTTTTACATTGTTTTGATATATTTGATGCTACAGTATACGAAGTTATACTCAAAGATTTCAAGGAAATAGACAATATGGTAACTACTTTTATGTTGGGATAATCTTGTGGTGAAACACTATTTTGCTTAAATGGTTATGTTTTGATCTGCGCTGATTTGCTGTTATGCCCTCTTTTATCTCAATCTCCATTTTATTATTTACTTTTTTATCCTTTTAATTAAGGGAAAAATAAATTTAAAAATAGCAGGATATATTATAGTAACCCACTTTGACTTTCCATTTTCTTGATTTAAAGCCCTGTATTGCTCTCACCATCTTGTTTTGACTGATGTTCCTCTATTCTGTTTTGTGATAGCACCAGGTTCGAAAGATTAGGCAACAGCTGTGAAGATAGTGGGATTCATTATGACGCCCATTCTGGTTGACCATTATCTACTTTTGAAGACCTATAATGTCTCCAGTGTTTTGGTTTTGTTGGTTTTGTTCTTTACTGTTTTGTTCAATTTTATTATAACTAATGATATAGGCAATTCTATTAGAGATAGCAGGAGGCATTCTGGTAACCATTATTGATCACCTTGTATTATGCTTTTACATTATCTATTACGTCCACCCTTTTGATTTGACTGACTCTGTTCTGTTATGTCACATTTGGTTCTACTCTCTTCCAAAAAAGGAATAAGAACTGTGGGAGCAACAAAACCCAAAATGTGTAATTGTCATTGTACAAAAGAGGAAAAGAAAGTGCTCTAAATGATATAACTGCATGTATATTTAAGTGTATAAGATAGATGATATTACTGAGTTTTGTTGGATCATTGAACAGAACTGTTTGCAGTCTCACTGTTGGAATATCCACTTTATAAGCTTTAATTTTGTAACTTGAACAATTATTTCTAAGATGACAAAATGTAATCCATTAACTAGTGATTTCCTACTGTTTATTTTTTCTGTAAATCTGTATAACTTGTACCCTTTCTCTGCTTTTTTTTTCCTTTTTCTCCTTAAATTAAAAAAAAAAAAAAGACCCGACTATGTAATTCTTGGAAAAGGCCAAATGTGATAGGCCTTTACATAGGTGATCAAATGGTGAAAACTCTAATGCTACCCTCAAAAGCAGTGTGTACATACTCCCAGGTACCTACACAGTAGCCCTTGTATGCTCTTCACTGTCTTCACTCAGGTTCCTGCTCCATGACCAGAAACACGGTTAATGGTAATCCATCAAAATAGATGGAGCTTCTCCTGAGGGAGCCCATACTTATATTAAGAATTGATTGGGACCAGAATACCCTTCATCTAAGGGTATGATTTAGGGTTTACAATTTGATTTAAGTACTAAATTAGATGAGGCTGCTAATGTACTAGAAAATTAGAATATCAAGAAATGAATTGTTACTGACTTTAGAGCAACAATTGAGCAACAACAATTTAGAGCAACAACATGAGACTGACCTGTAAAACCAAGTGGTAGGAATATAAAATCCTTTCATGCTTAGTTTAGTAACATGTCTGGGCAAAAATAGTAAACATCAGAAAGAAGGCTTTGATTTTCTTCTGCAGGATGGGTCTGGATTGCTGCCTCATAATCCAGTTGAAAGTTCAGAAATTTGGGTAAGAGAAAGAAAACATTTTAGGGAATGTTAGAAGGAGATAGTGAGTCATAGTCTTAAATAATTCCTGTTCATGTTAACAGTTTTTAACTAGACTCTGAATAATATTATATTGGAATTGTGCTTACAAAGTTAAATTTTTAGCTTTATTTTTGGAGATAACATTGGTAAATTAAGTGGTATATACTGAAAAGGCAATTTTTAAATATTTGGTTTGTAACAAATAGTGAATATTTAGTTCATGTGCGTATATATATATTTTTTGGGGGGACAGGGTCTCACTATGTAGTTGAGGCTGACCTGGATCTCACTGTATAGCCTGGTGCTGGCTTTGAACTTGCAGAGATCCTCCTGTTGGAATTACAGGCATGCTGCCATTCCAAGTGATTACATTATATTTTAAAAATCAAGAAATACTTTTCCCAAGTAAGAGTCAGTTTACAGTAATTATCACCAGTCTTTCAGACAGTGTTATTAGTTCAGTTTTAGAGACTACATATACTTGTGGCAAATTTTTTTTTTCCGTGAAGGAGAGTACAACTGTTTTGTACTTATTTCAGTAAATTCAGTGAGATAACATCTGAGTTATAATTGACTTAACCTCTTGTCCTTGTTCTTGGTTACTGTTGGATTTTTGTGTCAAAACAGATCCAAGCTACATATACCACAATTAAGAAACTATTTTTAAGGGCCTGGGGATTTAGCTCAGCGGCATAAGCGCCTGCCTTGCAAGCAGGCAGTCATGAGTTTGATCCCTGGTACCGGTAAAAATACAAAAATACAAAAAAAAAAAAAAAAGAAACTATTTTTAAGGAGTTTAGTCATAATGAATTAGAACAATAGGTCTGGATACCTGTAGGCTTGATTAAGAATATTTAATTATATTTCTCTAAATTTTCCCAGCCAATTTCTACAGAAATTTTGGAGTATTCATCACATAGTGAGAAAGAAGACGATCCCGAGAATGTTGTATTCATTGATTCTGAATCCCCTCATAAGTACCATGTTGATGTTGGACTGGATACAAGGCAGATAATGGACACAGTGATCAACCCAAGGGTGAAATCAACAGAATCCATCTTGTATACACCCCAGAAACAGGCAGCTAAGCCTTCTAGGACTCCAGAAGACTCAGCAAAGAAGAAGAAACTTTTAAGGTTAAATTACATCTTTTGAAGTACTTTTTTCCTGTTTTCTTAAGAAACCCAAATATCTGAAATGTTAATTTTAAAATATTTGTTTACTTGGGAAGGAAAATTGGAAGAATTACAATTCTCTACTTCTGATAATTCTCTACTTCTGATTACTGAAGCCCAAGTTCTCTAGCTGATTCTGGAATTTGTTTATCCAAGCTTGAGTGTTTATGGATTTTTATGACAACCAACTTACATGACTACTTTTGTTTGACAGAGTTTTGTTGTTTGGCTTATCCAATCTTACTGATCAGTGTTCAGGTGCTGTCTCAGAGAAGTGAACACTGTTCTGTCCTTTAGTAATTTATCATCTAAAGAGAGAAATAATAAATATTGACCACGTCAGGTTACTTTTATGAATGTGGTGAGAGACATTAGCCAGGGCAACACTTGCAAATGCAAGAGCGAGAGCCAAGACTAAGGGACAAGAAACAGCTGGTATGAATGTGGAGAGCCGTAGTGGTAGAATATTCCTGTCACTAGAGAAGCAGGCAATTTGAACAGGATGTGTGAAAGAGACCTACCCCTACCCTGTGTCATACAAAATGTCTTTGTTCGTTAAATAAGAACAAAATAATAATTTTTTAAAAATCTGATGAAAATGAGAACTATGTAACAAGCCTCTATATGTGATGGGGGGCCAATAGCTGCAGGAATGTGTGATGAAAGGAATGGCAGTGGTGCCGTGACTCTTGTGCTAGGATTGAGGGCAACCTGCTTGTGGCCCAAAAGAGATTCTGCCTCTGGTGAAGTTGCAGAGACGAGGAGAGATAGTATCTCAGACAGCAAGGCAGGCCAGTAGAGGCACAGCCTCAGGTATTGGTCTGTCAGCCCTAGAGAGGAAGTGAATGAGGCAGGTCAGGGGGTGCAGAGGACTGTCCTGAGGATAACAGCAGAAAGATGTATCAGAGTCTAGTGAAGTGAGAGTAACAGGTGGGGAGGTTCACGTCTGTTCCTCTTATCTTGTTCTCATAAGACACAAGGCTATAATAATGGTGTTGTAGAAAAACCCAGTCCTGGTGTATGAGAACTGGTCCCAAAGTGTCATGAGATCAAAGAAAGAGACAGACAGATCCAGGTTTCCATAGAGTATAGTTTAGTGAGTACTTACTAACAGAAGTGTGATTTTGGGTGGCCGTACAACCTGTGGATCCCATAATTTAGGTTAGAGAAAGGGGGATTATAAAGTGATCAGGACAAAAGTGCCTTCATTCAAACCAGCATGTACCTAGTTTATCAGAATAAAGAATCAAAGATGTCATCAGATGCATTCCTGTGCTGAGGTCTCCAGAGTCCCCTTTCTTCCTCTTTTCCCTGTCCCCATGCCCTTCCCTAATAGTCTTCTACTTTCAGGTTTTATATGTATATATTTAGTTTTCGCATATGAGGGAAGACATCTGATGCTTGTCTTTCTGTGTCTGACGTATAGAAATAGAGTAGTTCTTAAGGGCTTGATGTTTCCATTCTAAGTTGAGGTACATTGACCAAAATTCCATGCAGGAATTCTGCGGGTATGTTTGGAGGAGAGGGAAAGCAAGTGACCTGTGAGGCACCCTCATGGCCCTTACTTCCTAAACTCAGCTACAGTCACAGATTTTACCTGAGGACTCAGATCCTCCCCTGTGTTGACAAGTTATTTGTGTGTGGTGATTCTTGCTTTTACATTTCATCTTATAATTCCTACAGTTTTCTTATAGGGGTCTAGTGTGGACTTTAACCAGCTGTTTTTGGATTCTACTCTATAAATTCATAGTATTGAGAACCAAGATTGGAAAAGAATGCTGTGTTTTACCTTTTTCCTATATTTGTATTATAAATATGATTTAAAATATATGTTTACACTTAATATTAATTTTAATATTAAGACATAGTAGATATATTATCAACTTTGAGAGCATGAACTGTGCAGCCAGGCCACCTGTTCATGCAATTGGCTATGGCAGATGTCTAATGTCTCAGTGGAAGCTCCTTAGTGTATTAGTTGGAAGTGACTGTTGTATGTGTTGCACATACACATAAACACATTCAGAAATAATTATTGCCTATAAGAAAATAGTAGGATAGGGTAAAGATAATAAGTATAATATGTATCACATATAATGATAATAACTATGATAATAGTTATTATAGTATAGTATATTGTAGTATAAAAAAATAACTAAAAGCCATGACAGGGACAGTAACACTAATTGTGGATATTACAAAGTCCTGTTGAGTTTTAACAACTGATTCTTCATCTAAGCTAGTATGTAATAGTGGAGATGTTCTTTAATCTCTCTCCTCTGATTTTATTCTCTATGATGTAAATATTGATGTCTTTGTACCTAAGGAGAATATTATTTGAATAAAATGAGATAATGCAATGAAATGATTAATGAATAAATAATCTATGAGATAATACATTGAAAGTTGTATAGCCATCATGGTGATTAACAACTGATCTTATTTTCTCTTGAGATTACAGTCATGATAGGAGCTGCTGACTTCTCTCTGTGTGTCTTTCTATGTATGTATGTATATGTATGTGTGTACTTATATAACTTTAAATGTTAATTTTATATATAAATTTATAGCATGAATGCATATGTTAATGAGTATACATATTCATTGATAAGTAATGGATCTTATGAAGTATGTATATGCAAATTGTTATGAATTTTCTTCCTACCACCCTTGGAAGTTTCTTTTTTTTTAATAATATTTAAATCTTTGTTTGTGATTGATACTCTTATTTCTAGAATTCAATTAATGGGCCTATTTCTAAGTAATCTTACGTAAGTGTTCTACCTATCAATAGTTTGGCATGGTTATTTTTTTATTGGTACATGTTTGTGGTGAATAATGATTACATTTATCATAGGGAGTTGGTATATTTATGTAACACATCTTAATTCTATTTTTCATCCTCTCTTCCTGCCATCCTTCCTCATTCCTTCCAAGTCTTGATCTCCTTCCCACTGAAAAAAGCTCAATTTCCATTTCATTTTCTTTAATTTTTCTTTTTCCTTCCCTTCTTTCCTCTCTCACTTTTTCATCTTTCCTATCTTTTGTTCCCTTCTTCATTTGATAGAGATCTCCCTATTTTGCTCTTTATTTATATTTTGGATTTCTCATTAAGAGAAATCATGTGATATTTAAGCCCATGTTTCTGATTTATTTCACTTAGTATTATGGTTTCAAAATGCATTTATTTAACTATGAATGCCGCAAGTTTATCCTTTTTTATGGCAGAATGGTACTACACTGTGTATACAATTGATCTTAGCCAAAAGGCCAAGAAGTGATCCATTGTGTACAAATACCACATTTTCTTTATCCATTCATTTGTTGATGTGTATATAGGCCATTTCCAAGATTTAGGTCTTATAAATTGGGCTGAGATATGGCAAGATTATTTTTGTCTGGAACTCTGAACCCACTTTACATTTATCTGTTTGCCTCTATCTGCTGAATCCATTGTGAGTTTTCTCTATAGCTTGGTGCAAAATTATCATTGTGTCCTGTTAATTAGCTAAATGTTAAGTGCCAGTATATAGCTGATAGCAGTAAGCTGCATATTTATGGAATGAATAAATGAACTAAGAATAGAAGCTTAACTCATACTTAACTTCATATTTTTAAGAATATGATACTGTATTCTTAGGAGATAATATTGCCTCATACTTCTAAGAATCAGGACATAGAGCTTCCAAGAAAACTAAAAACTGACCTAGCGAGTATGGCTTTTTGGAAGAGATTGTAGTATAAAAAAATACATTAAAATTTTGCGTGTTTTATAGATTATAGTCTCTGATTATAGACTATAAAATATAAATTCTAGCTATTGTAAAGCTTTTTCTAACTAAACTTTAATACATTATAATTCATTAAACAGAGGCGGGCTAGCAGAAAGACTAAATGGACTACAGAATCGAGAGAGATCTGCTGTTTCTTTGTGGAGACATCAGTGTGTATCATATCAAAAGACTCTTTCAGGTAAGGCTTATATAGGCATCTGAGATAATAGTTTAAATACATTTTAATTAAAAAATTTTATATTAGAATATATGAAGCTTATCACTATTCTTTTTTGACTTTAAAAAGCTTTCCCCAAGATTTTCTGACATATTGAAAATGGTATACAATTAATGTTTATAATTTTTAATTTTTATTATTACATATTTGCAGTAAATAAACCACATTCATTGTGGGGGAATGGGTACATGTACATAACACATCTCAATCTCCCTTACCCTTTTTGCGAGCATTTGTCAGGTTATTACATACAGAGATTAACAAGCAGACTAATACACCAAAAACATGTAAAACATGTAAGACAATTATTCTGAATCAAGGAATACTTTTAGGTACACTGTCCATGCTGGATTATAGTAACTTTCTCTATCTCTCATTGTCTTCCTATTAAATTTTTTTCCCCGATTTTCTGTTTTTCATTTTGTACTTGAATTATATATTCAGTTTCTTATATGAGAAACTTGGTGATACTTAATTTTGTGTGTCTGATTTATTTCACTTAACATTAAGTTCTCAAGGTGTATCCATTTTCTTACAAATGACTGAAGCTTATCGTGTAAGCTATTCTGTGTACATATAGGTTGCTTCGAAGATTTAGCTATTATAAATTGTGTTGCTATAAACATGGGTATGCATGTATCATTGTGGTATGATCTCTTTAACTTTTGGGGGAGGATACTTAGAAAAGGAATAGCTCTGAGTCAAATGGAATGTCTATTTTTGGTTTTTGAGACTCCATACTGATTTCCATAGCGGTTATACCAGTTTACATTTCCCACCAAGATGGAGAGCGGTTCCTTTTTTCCTATGCCTCACCCACATTTGTTACTGGTTGATTATTTCTTCATGATAGCCATTCTTTCTGGAGTGAGAGTGGCCAGCAATGTTGAACATGTTTTTCATGTGTTCATTTTCTGTTTGTACTTCTTCATCTGAGAAGTGTTTATGCATTTCAGATGCCCGTTTTTAGATCAGGTGTTTAATTTGGGGTGGGGTGTCTAGTTTTTAAAAATTTTTTATGTTTTCTAGATTATTAGTTCGTTGAGAAATAGCTGGCAAAATTTTTTTCCCACCCTGTAGATTGTCTTTTCACTCTGTTGGTGGTTTTCCTTTTAGTGGCATAGTTGGGGTGGGTGAGAGGGGGAGTCTGCCTTATGTAACACATTTTTGGGTTAGTATTTTAATAGATTAACATATTCAAGGAGGGTGGCAAGGTGGTATTGGAGGGTGACAAACTGAAGAACCACCTGAGTGGCACAAACTAGCTATGCCACTGTTTCCTTTGGTGTGCAAAAGTTTTAAAAATTTGCTTTGATCCTTTTTGTTGATTCTTGGTTTTATTTCCTATGCAACCAGAGTTCTGTCCAGAAAGTCTTTTCCTACACCTATGTCTTCAGGTGTTTAACTGTTTTATCTTCTAGCAGATTGAATGTTTCTGTTTTAATGTTCAGCTCTTTGATCCATTTTGATTTTAGTGTAAAACATGATGAGAGGGATGGATGTAGGCTCAATCTTTGGCATGTATATGGCCAGTTTTCCCAACAATGTGTATTAAAGAAGGTGTCTTTCTTCTAATGAAAGTATTTGGCCCCTTTGTTGAAGATAATGTAACAGCGTAAATAGAATTGTTTCTGCATCCTATGTTTTGCTCCATTGATCCATAAGTTGTTTTTTGTTTTTGTTTTTGCCAATATCATGCTGTTTTTAAATCATTGTATATTTTTAAGTTACAAATAAGTTGTAATCAGTGTGTAACTTGAAGTCTAGGACTCTGACACCCTCTGCCTTGCCCTTATTACCCAGAATTGCTTTTGCTATTCTAGGTTTCTTCTGGTTCCATATGAATTTTAGGATTGTTTTCTCTAGTTTTGTAAGGAATGCTATTGATATTTTGATTGAGATTGCGTTAGGTGTTTTTTAATAGTTTTAGGTGTAGGGCCATTTTGACTATATTGTTCTGCCTATCCAGAAACAAAAGTATCTTTCCATTTTTTGATCCTCTTTGATTTCCTTTTTTAGAGTACTGTAGTTTTCATTGTAGAGATCTTTCACTTCCTTGATTAGGTTAATTCCTAAGTATTTCAGTTTTTCATGCTATTATGAAAGATACTGTTTCCCTAGTTTCTTTCTTGATGAATTTATTATTGAAATAGAGTAACTATTAATTTTTGAGTGTTGATTTTGTGTCCTTGTCTTACTTTCTCCTTGCTGGAAAAAAATACCTGACACTCTCAAGTTAAAGGAGGAAAGTTATTTTAGGTCACAGTTTGTAGAAGTTGCAGACTGTAATTGGCTGGTTCTAAGACAGGGCAGCATTGGAGAGGGGCATGGGAGAGGGTCATAGGAGAAGAAAAACAGTTCATGGTATGGCGGGTAGGAGCAGCCAACCTTCCTTCTTTACCTTTCTGTTTCATCCAGGCTACAAATCTTGGTTGCTACCCACACCCAAAGTGTGTCTTTCCTCTTCCAGAAGTCCGTCATTCATACCCAGAATTACACTAAATCAGTTAGTGGACTTATCTAGTACAATGCACTCATGATGCAGTGTCATATACCTATGATCCAGTCCGTTCTCAAAAGTTGCACTTATGAGTACATGAGGTTTTGCAGGGCTGTCTAGATATAAGCCATAAGAATTCAGATATACTATTGAATTTGGTTATTAATTCTAGGAGTCATTTGGTGAAGTTTTTATTGTCTTCTATATAGAAGATCATGTCATCTGCAAATAATGATAATTATACTTCTTCCTTTCTTATGCATATCCCTTTGATTTCTTTTTCTTGTTTAATTGCTCTAGCAAGTTTTATTTGTTTGGTTTTTTGAGATAGGAGCTCACTTTATAGTTCAAACTGGCCTTGAACTCACTGTGTAACCCAGACTGACCTTGAACTTGTAGCAGTGCTCCTGCTGCAGCCTCCTGAATTCTGGGATTACAAGCATGTACTACCACACCCAGCTCTAGCAATTATTTTGAAAATTATATTGAACAGCAGTGGTGGTAATAGACATGTTTGGCTTGTTCCTGATTTTAGAGGAAAAGCTTTCAACTTCTTGCCATTGACTGTGGGTTGGTCATAGATTTTTTTTTATCAGGTCAAGATAAAAATCTATTCCTGTTTTCTTTGGGGTTTTTAAAAAAATCGTGGATGGGGGCTGGAGGTTTAGTTCAGCTGCATAAGCACCTGCCTTGCAAGCAGGCGGTCGTGAGTTCGATCCCCAGTACCGATAAAAATGAAAAAGACCAAAAAAAAAAAAATTGTGGATGGATTTTAGATTTTGTCAAATGTACCTATTGAGATGATCATGTGATTTTTTTCCTTGCTTCTGTTTATATGGTATATTACATTTATTTGTTATTATTTATATAGAATGAATCATCCCTACATCCCTGGATGAATCATTCTTGGTCATGGTATATAACATTCTTGATGATTTGGTGCATTTTGTTTGCCAGTATCTTATTGAGGATTTTTGCATCTTTATGCATTAGAGAGATTGGCCTGTAATTTTCTTTTTTAGTTGAGTCTTTCTCTGGTTTTAGTATCAAGGTAATACTTCTAGGAATGATTTTGGAAGTATTGCTTCCCTTTAATTTCATTAAAGAGTTTGAGGGATGGGGATGTAGCACTGTGATAAGGCCACTGCCTGGCAAACATGAGGTCCTGAGTTTGATTTCCAGTTCCAAAGACAATAAAACAAAACACAAGAGTTTCAGTATTAGTGGCATTAGTTCTCTAAATTTTTTTTTTGTAAGCAACACAGTATTTTACCACAAGACAACGCGTAATTAACAGTAACTACCATAATGTCTCTTTCTTTGAAATAGTTGAGCATAACTTCATATACAATAGTATCAAACATAACATAATAGTCTAAAACCACTCAAGTGAATGAAAGTTTTACAGGACATTCAGAACCAATTAACAGAGTACAAACAATGGCTACTATATTATCTCATTTTCCATAGAAAATTTGTTTATACTATCACACATAATAAAATCCAATATGATACAATATGATAGATCCAATGGAAACAGAAGAACAAAAGCATGGTAGGATTTCAGAGTAAGATGATATTAAATCAGCACTGGCTCTCATAATGTCCTGTTTTCTTCAAAATAGCTGTTCATATATTCACAGATAATAAAATCAAACAAACCAGGATAAAATCATTCCAGCTAATGAATGCAAACATTATAAAGCTTTAAAACTATATAATGGGGAATCGAAAATATGGAACGCTTCATGAATTTGCGTGTCACTCTTGCGCAGGGGCCATATGCCAGTCTTCTCTGTATCGTTCCAATTTTAGTATATGTGCTGCCGAAGCAAGCATAGTTCTCTAAATTTCTTACAGAATTCAACAGTGAATCTATCAGGACCCCGGGCTTTTCTGTGTTGGTAACTTTTTAATTACATTCTCAATTTCATTCACTGATTTTTAATTTCATTGATACTGGGTTATTTAGAATTTTTGTATTTTCTTGATTTAGTTTTGGCAGTTTGTATATGTCTAGGAATCTGTCCATTTTGTCTGTTTTTCATATTATTAGAGTACAGATTCTCAAAGTAGGTATTGGTGATCTGGATTTCTGCAGGTTCCATTGTGATTTCCCCCTTTTCATTCCTAATTGCTTAAATTTGAATCTTTTCTTTCCTCTTTGATGAGGCTGGAGTTTATTGATTTGATTTAATCTTTCAAAGAACCAACTCTGATTCATCAAGTCTTTGTGTTGTTTTCTTAGTCTCAGTTGCATTAATTTCTGTTCTTTATAATTTACTTTCTCAAATGAACTTTGGGTTTGACTTGTTCTATTTTTGCTAGAAGTTTGAAGTTTAACATTAGGTTATTTATTTGAACTCACTCTGTTTTTCTGGTGTGAGAATTTGTCACTATAAATTACTCTTGTGGGACTGCTACCGTAGCATTCCATAAGTTATACAGTATTTGTATTGGC